CAGGCGCAGGAAAGGTTGGCTCACTCAGTGTTCACTGAGCACCTTTCCCACCTGCAGCGGATTCTAGGAGCTGGACATACATCAGTGCAGGAGACAGACATCCCTGCCCTCCTGGAGCTCACGTTACGGTGGTGGAGGGCCCTGGGGACCATAAACAGGTGCTGTGAGTAAATAGAAGTAAATTAATACAAATCAATTGCTTTGCAGCTCACCCCAAATAAAACGTATATACTAGTTCCAGTCACAGTTTAACTCGACCATAATGGCCAGAGTGACCTCTCTCGTCTCCTAAGGCCACAGGGCTGGTGACCGAGTTCTGCACAGGTCGGTCTCGCTTTCTCTTTTAAAAACCCTCAGGGGCAGAAGAGCAGTGACATGGGAGCAAGGTCGAGCTTGTACAAATGTTTGACTACATTCTGCAAATCCGAAAATAGGGAGAGTACAAGTACAAAAGGTATTTCATGGTGAGCCAATCAGGGCTGGTTCAAAACGTTCAAAAGCAGCAGCCTGGACAATATAAGACACCAAGAAAGAAACTGCCTCAGCAGATCTCGAGCCCGCAGCAATCTTTCCCAAACAAATGTGGCTGCTTCCGTGGAGGGTTTGCCCGCAGGAGAAGGCATATACTTCTAAGCTAAGGAATCCTGGGCATTGAGAAGTAAATGCCTTCTAGAACTTTCATTTACTGTAGACACACACACATACACTCAGAGCCTGTTTTAATTTTCCTTCTAATCCCCCAGAGCTCTTCCCCCCAGAGCTCTGCGTACCATGGGACCCTCCAGCTCCAAATCGTTGCTTGGCTCATGCTCCTGTCCCCTGGGAGTCAGCTGATACGTCACCCCCTCCCGAGGAGCCTTTCTGACCAGTCTGGGATCGACTCCTCAGCCACCCGGTCACTTCCTTTCAGAAGGAAAGGCAGAACTAAATATCATCTGTTCAGTTTCATCAGAACTAAATGTAACTGGAAAGTATGGTTCACTCACTCATTTCTTTGTTCACTTGTTTATTGTATGTCTGACTCCATGGGAACAGAAAGCGTATCTTGCTTGCTCTCTCTCCAGCTCCTAAAAACAGCGTTTGGCAAGAGAAAATGCTCAATAAATATTTGCCAAATGAACGAATGAAGACCTGTCAGGTTTCATTTGGCAGAGCAGCCGTGATTTTGCTGCTACCTCAAGCACCCATCTTATTTCCTTTCATTTTCTCCGCAGCCCGGGGTTCGGCCTCTCCTTTGGATGGCTCCTTCCTCAGTCTGGCTTCATATCGGGCCCAACGCCTCCTGAAGCCGCTCTCTTGAAGGTCAACCACATCTCCTTCAAGGTCAGGCCCAATGGCCTTTCCTCGGCCTCAGCTTCTTTGACTTACCTCCAGATCTGGCAGCGAGGAACTTTCCTGAGACACTTCGCAGGATGTGACCCGAAACTAAGCCGAGCCCCTTGTTTTTCGTTTGCCTCCTTAAATACGTGTCCTTCCCACTGCCCGAGAGTGAGTGTTCTTTGAGGTTCTGTGCTTAGAGCTTCGTTTCCCCCACTCTCTTCTTTACACAAACGATTGTAGCTACGGCTCTGTCTTTATTGCCTCTCACCTGGATGACACTCACGGGAGTCAGGACAGTGGTTCACAAACGGCAGTCCTTTTGCCTGAGGCACATGTAGAATTGTTTTTCTGCACTCACCTTATGTCAGGAATGATCATGTGACTTACTTTTGGCAATGAAATGTGAGAAAAAGCGCCATTTGTTACTTCCCGGCAGCGATTTTATGAGCTGGTCCTTGGTTTGCCATGTCCCCCTTTCCTGGTCTCTGTGATCTCTGAGGCTTTATTGAGCTGGAGCCTCCGTTAAGCTTAGTCCTTGAGTAACTAGGATGAACAGAGTCCCCTTGCTGAACTGCAGTGGCCATGGAGCGGGAGTTACCAATAAGCCATTGTTTCAAGCTACTGTGATTTTAGTGACTCGTTATTGCAGCACAACCTGGCCTCACCTGACTGAAACAACAGCTCAATCTGACTTTTTTCCTCAAGCTCAAGCTACATTTCTCCAGCTATCATCAAGATAGAAATCTTCTTTACTTACAGAAGTATAAGCCCAACATATCTATTCCTATATTCATCATTTCCCTCCCCAACCCTGAAACATACCTCTCCTCCTGACTTCTCTACTTTGGTTAGTGACTCCAACACTCTTCTAAAAACCTAAACTTTATATATTCGGTTACTACATTTTGTCCCAGCTTATTTCCAACCCTGTTTTGTTGTTCCGATGGGTACCTCTGGGTCTAGCCTTGGTCCCTTCATTCCTGGACTATTACACCTCTTGAATCACCATCTCACTTTATAGTCAAAATTTTGCACAAAGAAAACTCCAGCCCTAGATCTTTTCACTAGTGAATTCTACCAAATATTCAAGAAAGAAATATATCAGTTTTACACAAATTCATTCAGAAAGTAGAGGAGGGAGGACTTCCAACTATTTTTTTTCACCGGGCCACCATAACCCAGATAACAGCCTCACAAACACATTACAAAGAAAGAAAATTAAAGACTAATATCTGAATATAGATGCAGGAATCCTTAACAAAATATTCTTCAATCAAATCTTGCAGTTTATAAAGAAGATAATACATCCTGATCAAGTTGGATTTCCTTCCAAATTTTCAAATGGCTTATCATTGGAAACCAATCAACATAATTCACCATATTAACAGCGTATAAGAGAAAAACCATATAAACATCTCAACAGAAGGAAAAAAGACATTTGACAAATTTTAACACCCATTCATGACAAGAACTCTCAGCATAAATTAAGAATTTATTCTTAATTTTAAGAATAAAAGGGAAATTCCTCACTATGATGAGTGGTACCTTTAAAAATCCTACAGCTAGCATCATGTTTAATGGTAAATATTGAGCATTCCCCACCCGCCCCCAAAGACCAGAAATCTTGAGCAAGACTCCACGGAAGTGCTGAGGTAGTTTCCCTCTGCTCTTCTCTCTTCCTCTTTTTTCTTTCCTGGAATTTAGACGCGACAGCAGGAGCTGTGGCTACAATCTTGTAACCAGGAAGAAACCTTGAAGACACAAGCCTCTGTATTTAAAAGCTACTTTTACTGGGCACTCTGTTACTTATGGCTGAAGTCAATTCCTGATTCATACAAGTGACTTTGGCTGAGTCCTTGCTCTGCACTGGGCTGTGCTGGGTGTGGTCATTTCTTCTGTCCAACTTAGACTCCCAAAGCCCTTGGAAGTGGGCAGTAAGCACCTCTATTTACAGATGAATAAAGGGCAAAAGAGAAAGTGAACTAGACAGAGAAGCTCACCTCCTTCAGGCACCTCCTTAAAGAAAATCAACCAATTCTGCCTCTGCTCCCGTCTAGTATGAATCTCACCTAGCAACTGATGCATATTTGGGGTACAATAGAAGCGCATGCTCTGGTCCTATTCAGGGAGGCCCTTTGCTATCTGGAGTGGTGTCCACCACGGCGTTGCTTTAGTGCTTGAACAGAATTTGAAATATACATATTAGTATAAATCAATATTTAAAAAAATAAAATTCAGAGGATATACTGTATTACAGAATATTCTCCAGAATTGTCATTATTAATAAAACCAATTATGTCGCAGAGACAAGAGCAGGTGGCCATCACAGGGCATTTGACCTCAGGGAGACCAAGACCTGACAGGTTCGTGCCACAGGCTGTCTCCCGCCAGGACTGCTGCTTGCTGATGCCTGTCCCCAGGTTCCTTGGACTCTTGGGCCTGCCCCGTGTTCCCTGGCCTCGGATCCAGTGTCTAAGTGCAAAACACTAGGCTTGAAATCGAGCCGATCCACTACCCGGCCCGACGGACGCAAAGCGCGCCTGGCCGACGCTGCGGACTCTAAGGTCACTGCGGCCCCCTCTCTGCTGGTGCCCTTTGTTCTACCCAAACGGAGCTCTGCCCCTGGGCTGGCCGGCCCTTCTCTGAGCGGCCTCCTGTAGCCTTGACCCCGACCTTCCCAGGCGAGGCGCTCGGCCCTTCAGGAAGTCCCCGCATAGACTGTCGCTAAGCCTCCAGGTGCTGGTTCCTGTGCCCCTTTTGTGTCTGGGCTCGCTCACGTCCACCCACTGGCCTGCCTCGCGGAGCTTGGAGACAGCGGGCCAAACTCTGGTTCCAGTTACGGGGGAGGCTGCTGGGTTTTGTTTGGGAGAGGCTGTTTGGAGCCCTCTTCTCCCAGGTGCCCCCCTTCCCCACACTGCCCCCTTCATTCCGGGGTTTTGCTGTGGGCCGTGGGACCAGCACCGGGGGCTAGGCGGGTGGGGTCAGACCTGACCTGCGTTCAGCAACCTCGGTTCTTGGGCTCTGGCCAGGAAAGAATTCAGAGCCAAGACCAAACAACAAGAGCATTTATTTGGTAAAATCACAGAGGTAGAAGTAATTCCTAGAAGAAATGGGCTCAGGAACAAGTTATAGAGGCAAAGGAAAGGCCCTTGGAGCTCGGGAGGGAGGCAGCTGATGGTAACGCCTGGGGGGAGGGAAGCGCGGGTGTCTCCCAGGAGGGAGAGGGCTGGGTCCTCTGTCCTAATGGTTTTAAGCCTGGAGATTTTAGGGGAGTTCCAGGGGAAGCTCTCAATAGAATAGTCAGCAGTTTTTCAGGTGTGTCCCTTCGGGGTTGTGGTCTCCACTGACTGGTTGGCCAGGGCGGAGGTCATTATCCAACACAGCTGGTCCTGAGGTCAGCTCGGCCTGGTTCTGTCAATCTGCGAGCTGCTGAGTCATTTAATCAGAAAGCACCCCCAGATGGAATCACCACCATTTTTTAAAATTAGCAACTTCTAAGGATGTGAGCAGAAATCTAAAGAGCTGCTCTACTGAGGGGCACTTGCTAAGACCAGCTTCTGCTGGGAGACGTAGAAAGATCATTTTGTTGTCTCCAAATGATGGGAGTTCAGGGAAGGAGCAGAAGCACGCTTGGGGGTGTCGGGAGAAGAGAAACCAGAGAAAGCCATGCATACAACGTCTGTAAAGAAAATGTTTTATTTAAAGTGTTAAATACCATCACCAGAATGAATTTGATTTACATTAGTTGGTGTTCTTTACAGGACTGATCTGCCCCTTTAACTTCCCCCAACTGGAATTCCCTTTAGTTTTAAAACATACTATATACAGGGCAGCAATGGTCACTGGAATAGTGCTATTTACATACTAAACCACAATTCGAGGTGCAGACGTGAAAATTTAAAAAAAAAAAAAAAAATACACCAACTTTTAAATAAATACTGCATAATGACATATACAAATATCCCACACAGTCATGTCCTTCTTATTAAAATTAGAAATAATTTATATAGGAATATACACAAAAGATTATGTGACTGCCTCTTAGTATCAGGAAAATGGTAAACGTTTATCCTAAGGGGGAGTATAGACACTATAGGTCTATTAAACCAATTGTTGCTGGTACACACGTGTCTAAATTATTTCGGTAAAGCTTTTACTCTTTGAACAACTCTACCCAGGGCCATCACGCATCTCAGAATGTCAAGACACAGTCTCGGTGTATTTCATATTGCACCACATAAAGAGAAGGCATTTTTAGTGATACTCATTTTAACTTTTGCACCATATCAAGCATGATAGTTTTAAATGGTCACCACTGAATTTAAAAAGGGGAAAGAAAAAAAAAGAAGCAATTTTTGTTGTGCGTGGCCTTAAAGAAATAGTATGGATGTGGATTTCAAAAGTTATTACAAGAAATTAAATCAACCTAAAAGAATGTGTTATGAGTGTACGCAAAGAAACAGAGAGTATGGGTGGATTATTACATTAACCAGTGACTTCTCCTCTACACGGGGACTTCAGAGAAATCTGATTTTGCAGCACCACCCAATGTAATAACAACTGTCTAAAAATCAAAGGCAGGGGTTTGACTCTGGGCGTTTGTGTGTGGACTTTTGGTGATGGCACCAAAGAACTATTAATAGGCAGACTGACTTTCTTTGAGTCGCCTAAAAACTGGAGCTTTAAAATTATCTGTTGCAAATTCATGTTTACTATAGTTCTTTAGAAATATAATTTGTGAAAAACTGAACTTTACTACAGAAAACTGAATTAATAAACAGCCCTGTGTTTCAGGGCTCCAAACTCTTAGCCATGTTTCTATTCACACAGTAAGTGGAAACTGGCTAAAGAAATTGCTGTAATTAAAAAAAACGAAACCAAAGACCTTCTAGAAATAATGCTTTAACCCCTGTATGAATAATGCTGGTGCTAAAAACAAATTCATACAATGGCCGCGTGATTTGAGAATCTTCCTGTAAATGAAACTTGGAAGGTGAAAATAAAATTACCATGCGCTGTACAATAGATGGCAAAAGTTCAAAGACCTTCATCAAACACATGCTGACTCACTTCAATGTACTCCCAAGTCATGTTGCAAAACCCTTTTCAACATGCTTGAAATAAAGCTCTTAAATTTTTTTCCCCTTGAGAAATTCATAAATTCAGAGGCATCTACAGCTCTGAATCAAACACGGGGTACAAGAGAGTATCAGGTGAAAAATCTGTAATTTTTGGAACTCATGTTCACTCTGGTAGGAGAAAGGAAATAAAAGATTAAAAGAGAGAGAAGCAGAGAGGCGAGGAGAAGGGGGACATGAACAATCTGCACACACTGAACGTTGACAGATTTATACGTTTAACACGGAAAGAAACTGAGCGGATGCTTATCTGTCACAGAAAGAGAATTTTAAGTATCTTCTAGAAAGTATTTTCATTTGTAGTGTCTGCCAAAACACAGACTATGGTTAAAGAATAAACATGGTGTGTCTTTGTATCACCCTGTTGCATTCTCTCCCCCTTTTAAAACCATGCACTAGTGAAATTTATTTTTAAAAATAATATAAATTGTTGAAAATGGCTGATTTTTATTCTTTTTTTTTTTTTTTTTTTGCAAGTTGCAGCCCCAAGAAAATAATTTAAGTATTCAGCTAATCTGTGTCCATGCAAAGAGGTTTCTTTAATTTCACTCAGTACAGTGCAGCCACAGGACGTCGTCTCCCGGGGCCCAGCGCATCGGGCAGGAGCGAGCGACGGGCGCTGGGCCGGCCGCTCCTGGCCGCCGGCCGGGGGACGTTTTGCCTGGGCCACCGCTTTGGTCTCCTGCTTTTCACCTGATGCTTCCTAGGACTTCACGCCTCGGCTTGTGACATGGCTTAGTGGCTGTGTCGCTCCATCTCTGTGGCATAGCAGGGCTCCGGGGTCAGAGAGATGAGAAAAAGGAACCATAAAAATATAAAGGCGCCATTGGAAAGGGCTTTTGTTGCATGAAACTGACTCTTTGAGATTAATCCATGGCTTCAGATCGAACCGGAATTTGAGTGCTGCTGACCTCCAAACCCGACAGTGCTCCGCAGCTCCGCTCTTTCGCCTGAGGGCCTTCTTTAGGGCACAATGTGTGCGACTTCCTCTGAGAACACAGGATCGCGCTGCATCCCTAGAAACAGGCTCAGAAGACACAACATTAAGCATGCAGTGTTACCAGGGTGAGCGACCTGTGATTTTTTTTTGTAACGCTGGTTGCTATGACAACAGTTTTACAGCTGCTATGAACGAGAGTAAGAAGGTCCGGTGGAACTTTCCAGAGATGATTGGGAAGCTCTTCTTGTCAGAGGGGCCAAGGTTGGATCTACTAGGGAGGAGGTGGGGAAGAGTTTGAACCAGCCGATCACCATATTGGATAGCTCCAGTTCATCTAAAAGTATCTGGGCCACTCCCATGAAAGATTTGTGATCCATGCGGCCATAATCTCCCCAGACAATGATCTGTGGGCAAAGCAGAAAAGAAAGCGATGTCAGCATAATCGTGTTCGTGAAAACCTGCAAACTAAAACACGTCCGGGTAATGTGCCGACATCAACGGTCATGTTGAGTAGCTACAGCGACCACTGGGACCATTGTCTTTCATTGCTAGGATCCAAAGGTATATTAGGAAAACCAGGAAGCGTGAAGACTGTAAGTGGTCCAGGGAGAGTGGCGTTTGTGTGTGATGGGGGTTTGCTAGTCTACACTCCATTAAAGGAACCAACGGTGTCTACAGCTTCACAGCTCTGGCCACTGCTCTGAAGTTTCCCAAGAACTTTGGGTGTGAGCAACAGAAAAGACTGTGGTAGGTAAAGATGTTGGAGACAAGGCTTGACTCCATGAGAGCTCCTTCTTAGGTAAGGGATAAACAATCCAGTAAATACCTGCAAAACCTTTCCTTGGGGACTTTCTTCGAAGGATAATAGCTGCTGGTACAGGGGTTCCAGCGTTTTTCGTGCCACTTTGGTTTTCTTTTTGGCTACGCAGACTCCATTGTCCAATAGATACACCTTTACATACGGTGCTTGGGAGAGAAAATGAGAGGAGAGTTAAGTGATGCGCTGTGATTATGAAATACCCAACCCACGGGTGGCATCTGTATCAGGTTAGCCTTGGTCAGGACGAGCCAGCAACCCAGAGTCACTGGCCTTTCCACATTATGGCAAAGTCATTAGGTAAACAATAGATATCTATCAGCTCGCTTTTCCGGCAGTTTTAGGCAATGTTGGCACAGACGCTGAATTGGTTACTAACTTGCCATCAGCTGGTTATACAGATTTGGACATGGCGTTAAATAAGGTGAAAAGTTCCTAGTCCATAACATAGTCAAGGGAGATGCCTTCCTCTGTCATGTGTCAGTACTTTATCTAATTAAACATGCTTTAATCTGTACTGTTTTACTCACCCATCCCCACAAATCACTTATCATATCACTCAAAAGGATATTTTTTTTGGACGGTAAATTTGTTTAATAAATACAAAAGATTTATTTTCTGGCGCATGGGTACATGGCAAGGGTGAGGTTTTGTGTAATATGTCCACATTAGCTGGGAACAGGCAACTAATTATGAATTCCATAGCCTGAGATTTATCTGGCAGACTCTTTCTTCATGAAAGCATTTCATGCATGTAGAAATTGTTTTATACTTTACAGGGCAGTGGATAGACGAGCTCCAAGACCCATATAAACACCTGCCCTGATCACCACTGCAAGGACCTGCACAAACACACCTGCCTTCATCACCAGTGCAAAGCTGTACAGCAGGTCACGTACATTATAACTTGGAATTTCCACAAGGATGGAAATGTTAAGATATTCAAAAATCACAAGCAGCCAGGGAGGTGCTGAGGTGAGAAACCACGTTTCAAATCCTCAGCAGCTGTTCTGCGCCTCAGATCTGCTGGCACACATCTGTGCACAGTACACCCGGAGTCCTGGGCCGTGTCGACGTGACAAGCACCTCAGAACACACCTTCGGCACGAAATAGGTGGCATCGTGATAAAAATGTATCGTGATGCCTCGTTTTCTTTACACACTACAGGAAGTGGAAGTCTTACCATGAGAATGTCCTGCATACACAGCCTTATGCTACCTTGGGGCCTGTACCTATTTTTATTCTAATTCCAGAACCTTAAGGATTCCCAAGGAGAATTTCAAAGCTCCAGATAAATCGAAGAATAGCACAAAACACCAGCTAACGAGAAAAAGAACTACTTACGGACACGTACACAATGAATGACCTGAGTGTGGGAGTTCTTATTTTGCAGTGGTTTCTACGCCTGTGTATGAACTTACCTAACAGTGTCATTGTCCCCATGCTGCCACCCTCGCTGACGCCCACTCAGGATAAACACACAACTAAGTGGCTCATGGTCGCATCCTCGATCACCTAAACAAAGTTCTCAGCAGCTAATGAAAGCGACGTCCCTGAACTGCAGGATGTGGGTTATGGGCGACAGAAGAATCTCTTCTGCTTTTACCTGGCAGTGTCTTGGAACCTGGTTTCACGACGAGGCCGCGGGCCCGAATGATCTCGACCTCCAACTGTCCCTTTTTGTCCATCATTCCTACCTGAATGTCACCTGTGGTACATGAGGAGGAAACAGACAGAATTAATACAGAAATGCAGCAGGAAAAAACGCTGTGCCCCAGGCCTTGGCCTGACATCATTCCATCATTTCCCATTTCCTTTCCTTAATTCATACACATTTAAAATCTTATCAGTGGCATCTCACTTTAAAAAGCATATAAACCGAATGGAAAAAAATTAACTGAAGATTTTTTTAATTGCTCAAATATAAAATATTCATCCCTCCAGATAATACTGTTAAAACCCCCAGGAAATTAAAGAATGTGATTGTAAACAATCTAAAAGAAAATCAACAGAATCGTGTGACAGAAATTCTTACCCATTGCAGGTGTCGCCAGAGTCTGACGTCCCACTAGCTGGGCAGGGCCAAGGCCATCCAGAAAATCGCTGAACTGGCTGTCAGAGGCCAAGCGGACACCAGGGAAAATCAGACTAAAAGCAAAATAACATGGGATTAAACCCTCAACCTCTGTCTCCATGGTACCACTACTTTGCCACTTACGTCCATTGGATCCCACAGTCTCCCCCTTACTCTCTAGCAGCCCACGTATGTCACCGGAAGCAGCTGTCACACTGGACTGCAGGCTTCTGTCTATGTCTTTTTCTTCATTGTCTGGAGGACATGGACTATGATTTCTATCAAGAGCACTCCATACACTCACTCCAGAACCGGCATCATCATATGTAATCGTCTAGGCTGCACTGGGAGACAGGTCCTATTATTTAACCCATTGTATAGATGAAGGAACTTTATTCGATCACTCCCACCAGCAAACATACCGTTATTTTTTCCACCTTAAAAAAAATTCCCTTCCCTTGCCCCGCTCCTCTCTCCAGCCACCACCCCACTTCTCTCCCAAAAGCCCCCGAACGAGTTCTGCCCACATGCTGTCTTCAACTTCTTCCCTCTCGTTCCCCCTCGAAACGCGAATACGGTTTCCCTCGCTCTCTTCCTCGCTTTATTTTCTCCAGTCCACTGACACTTCCCTGATCAAGGTTAACTAGTAGCCGCACTGGTAAATGGAACCACTAATGCTCTGTTAGTGAAAACTAATTTAACTTCGCATCATTTGATCCCTGCTGCTTCCTTGAAACCCTTTTTCCACGCTCCCCCCCCTCCGCCCCCCCGACTCTCTAGTGTCCTGGTTTTCCTTTTTGGCCACTTTGTCTCCATCTCCTTCGCTAGTTCTGCCACTAAACACTGAGAGCTCGATCCTTTGACCTCTTATCATTTCTGAATCTTCATTCCCTTGGGATGCGCACCAGGGATGTGCACCCACAGAGGGGAGACCACGTGAGGACTCGTGAGAAGGGGGTCACCGGCAAGGCAAGGAGAGGCCTCAGGGGAAATCAACCCCGCTCACACCTTGGTCTTGGATTTCCAGCCTCCAGAACCATGGGAAAATATGTTTATGAAGCCTAGAAACTCATCCACGTTTCTGTAGTGCCAACAGATTAGGCCCATATGATTCTAAAGCCCATGGTCTTAACCACCCACTGGTTTTGGCTCCCTTGTATGGCTCATATCCCCGGCTCACAGCACAGAGCCCAGAACAACGGAAGTTCTAGGTTCTGTTTGTTGAATGAATTTATGAGTATTCCTCCCATTTCTCCAACAAGACTATGAGCATCTGAAGTGTGGTCCACAGTGTAAACCTGTGATGTCCCCGACATACCTGGCATTGTGCTTCACAATGAAGAGTGCTCCGTGCACATTTGCTTTTTACTTGATTTCCCATCTTTCGATGCGTCTTTGGTTAAAATCAAATCTATGTCTTTTCCCAGCCTTAGTACCCAAATATACAGTTAATCCAAACATTTCAATGTTTCCCTAAGTATCCCACATAACCTTCTTTATAAATGCAGACAAGCCAGACATCTACTTATACAATCGTGCTGGACAAATGATCCTTAGAGCATATCATGAACAGCGCTCTCTGGGCAGCGCCTATGGCCTCACGTCTGTGACCCGGCCACATACGTGTGGTCTAAACATCTGATACTTCCATGGGGATGACAGAGTGAACTCAGCAAACCCCACTTTCCTCTGTTAATGCCATTTATATCAGCAACTAGTCTGCAGTTGCTAATCAGGGGAAGCTGCATGATAACCACATGTAGGGAGGGCTCCCCAATCTCTGCGGCATTCGGCTACCACATCTGGCTGAACTGCGGCTCCTGCATGGAACCGAGGATGCATCAGTATTCTGCACTTTGCAGTAATGACTCTTAGAGCAAAGGCTTGTAACGTTAGCACTGTTCACACTGTGTAGCATGAATGCTTATTACTTTTGTGCTTTTAGGTGTATTATTTCAAGAGAGGGCAAATTTTCATTTGCACACGCCATGAAAGCCACGTGTTGGCATCTTGCCATTGGAGCAAAACATTTTGCCCCCAGACCGAGTTCCCTTGATATAAAACCAGACGTGTCACATTTCTCAGCGGCAGGTGAGCCAAGCTCTCCCCACAGCAAGCCAGCCAGTGACGCGCTGCAGGGCGGAGGGGGGGCCGAGAAGCCGGCCGCGGGCAGGGAGGGCGCAGCACCCCGGCCTCACTCACTTTCCTTCGGAGCTGTAGCTGTTCATGCTGCCGTCGGTGGACTCCCGGCTGGCCTGGCGGGTCATCCAGTTCCTCATTTCCACGGCCAGGCCCGTTTCTGTGCTTCTCTGCACAGTGCTCCGCAGCTTTTTACCTCCCGCTTCTGCACAGACAGAGAACAAAAGGGGTGATAGCTTTGTCATCACCACCTGGTGACAGAAAATAGCAGCCAACGCTTGGAGGTCCTCAGAGGAAAAGAGCTGCGCGAACACGAAGGGCTCTTATTAAGGAAACAGAGAGAAAGGGTATTTCAAACAACGTCTTGTTGAATGGGACGAAGATTTTCTCAAAATCTTCAAGAAGCACAAAATAGCATTGTTTCAGTTCCATTTAAAACAGTGTTCAAAGTGGTAACAAAAGGACCCAAAAGGTTCAACCTACGGAAAATAAAATACGCTGTTTTTATTGTACTATTTAAATGCAAGGCTAATTTATATGTCTTTCTCTTTTCCCTTGCTTTTTGTCATAGAAGAACTCGGCTTTCGCATTATTTCCAAAGAGCAGGTGGTGAGTAATGCTCAGTTCCAGCCTTGGCTTTCGCATGAAAACCCGTGCTTGCTGGGTGATGGACCCTAGACGGCAGAGCGCTACACGAAGGAGGGAGCCCCGCTGATGGCACGTTCACCTCTGTTGGGAACTCTCAGAGAGAGTCCCACAGGAGCACAAAACCCAGCAAAGCCGTGGGAAAGGGCTTTTTCACTTTTGGTCATGAATAGTCATGTCCTCAAGGATCTTCAGCAGTTTGGCTATGAGTTTACTTATAGAAGCCAATTAGAAGACCAAATGGGAAACTGAGTCAGGTAACACAGGTGTGACAGAGGTAAGAAGCGCTGAGAGGTCAGGAAGGACGAGCATCCTCCAGAAGGGGTGGAATTTGAGCTGAGCTTGCAAAATGGGGCCCATTGGGACCCCAGAAGAAGCAAGGAGAGAGAGCTTTGGCCCAGAGAAAGCGCGTGCACAAAGGTGTGAAGACAGGAGTGAGCACGTGCAGTTGAGGGGTGGTGCCAACAGCTAAAACATACGGAGCAGTGATGGGGGGGTGCGTCAGACCAGAAACTGAGCCCAAATTGCAGAGGGCCTTGCACGCAGGGACGTGGAGCTGAGGGACTACTGAAGCTGGAACAACAGGGTGACCGTCTAAAGTATCTGTAATAATTTACTTCTGGTCAGGTCTGTGCATCTATCCACATTAACCATGTACATCATTAGCATTTTGGGGAGTCAATCAGCTCTTTTAGTGTCTGGTATTAATAATTTCATTCTAGATCAATAAATATTTGCTGATATTTCCAGTGACTGGTTGAAATTCCTTTTACCAGGCCCCTTATAATATTTGTTCACCATTTGAAACACTGCTTTAAATTTCACCTGTTCTCCACTTCCAACTTTAATGTACATCAAAATGCTTTAAAAAGTATATATAAAAGTGATGACTCATTTCCAGCTCAGTTCCATAATCTAAGGCTGCTATTTTAGATAATTGGTAATAAACATGTTGTACTGATATGGGCTTAAGATGATACAAAGCATCCCCCGTGAATGAGAAAGCTCTTCTTTACAGGGGAATGTTACGTTAAGAAACGCAAAAGGAGCAAATGAAATTTAAAATTACCAATTTGTAACCCCCAACGGAATAAATGGTTCAAACAAGGCACATCGATGGATGCTAACATCATTAGATATTCATATGAACCAAAAAATCACCCCACAGATTAGTTCTATTTGTTAAAGGAAAACACACTTTCGCTCTGGGCGACCTGGCTCTCTCCATCTCAATCAAGCGGTCAAACTCAGCAGCACTAGTCGTGGGGCAATCACACGTGCTTCCTGTCGAGGTGTCCCGAACAAAAACATACACCCCGTTTCTCATCAGGCTTTTGGGACCCACTTCTAGTTTCCAAAAATACAGAAGACAGAGCAGCAATCACACACACACACACACACACACATACAATCAGACAAACACAGAACATGGGGTTTTGTTCAAGAGAACTGGCCTAGTCTCCTAAAATAGTTATTATCATGAAGACAGACAAACTTACAAGGTGCACAAATTATTCCAGATTTAAAAATACCACATTGATGTAACTATTAAATGCTATGAGTGGTTAGTTTAATTTTGGGTAAAGAAACAAAAACAAGAAACCAGATAATACGAGTTGAAGTGCCTATGTGACCATTTTCAAACTCTGAGCGGGCAGGTAATTTATGGTTCTAAGCTGAGTTCTTTTGCAGACTCAAGATCATATTTAGCCTACATCACAGAATATATGACACGCAGTGGCATTTAATGAGTGTGATGATTAAGGATCAGGTGCCACAGTCTGTGTAGAAGAGTTCTGAAAACTGCAAAATGCTATACAAATTCTTTTTTAAATGACTGAAATAATGTAAAATTACCCTAAACTTGCAGGAAGAAAACTGTGTATAAATAAGCGGGGTCTTGCCAACTCTGAATCTGAAGCCACTGAAGCAAAGCAGCAGAGGCACCATGGACTCCCATTCTAAGGGGCACAGTGGCCACAATGTACCATTCCCAGGGGCGGTCCTACAGCCGTGTGTGGTCACTAAGGTCAATGCTGGCCCTGGAGCACGCAGGGATGTCCGTGCCAAGGGGAAGTGGCAGGGCCAGTTCTGCAGTATGATTTGGGGCAACGTTCCTAGCCTGAAGGGCAACCAGACATGCACGTACTGCAGTGGAGGAATAGAAAGAACGGCATGAACAGGAGCTTGAAGGGAAAGAGCAAGGAGGCTGAGTTTCATTCATCTACTGGGTTTCCAAGGGCCTAAGAAGGCAGGGAAGCTATCTGTGGGTAAGAACCAAACTGTTAGGCTTCGAATGTCAAGCTAAAGGCTTTATTTAGTGGGAGACGGGAACTCAGTGAAGTTTTCAGAAGAGTGGTGTCAAGATCAAGATGTTGTTTAAGGGAATCGATACAGAGGCGATGAAGGTAGGAGTGGGGAGATCCAGAACATAGAGAGAGCAGATTGTGAGACTCTTGGATGATTTCAAAGGTGAGCCCATGTGGTCCTCAACTATCAAGGTGACAGTGAGGACGGGAAAGAAGGAAAACTGAGAAAAGTTGAGAAGGAAGCAGTTCCTTGATAGAAGTTCCACATATGTGGTCAATAGGTACGTTTCGTCTGGTCCAAATAATGTTGAAATTTTTTCATTTAGGTGCCAACACTTTAAAATTTAAAAATTTTAAGTAATGTCCAGATTTATAGCTTCTTAGGGGGAAAAAAAAAATCACAGACTTGCCTGGGCTGACATTCAATTTGGCCTCAATTACCTAGAGCTGAGTGTCGACCATTCCTCTGTGGCTGGGACAGCTTCCTCCAGTTTTTCGGAGTCTTGCTTTTCCCTTTTGTATGACATCTGGCCTATTTCACTGGTATGTTACCACCCTGGTCCCTTATTTACAGGAGTTGTTAAGGGAAAACCGATCACTGAAATAGCTAAAATGAACAGTCCTTTCATTGTTTTAGTCTCACCAGGCAAAATCTAAATCTTAAGAAATGATACTACAAAACCAGAACCGATACTATCATTTTTATGTTAGCTTCTCCAACCGCTCCGTATTATATACCCATTGCATTAGGTAAAGTCCCCTCCTCTCCGATCAAACACCGTCACAGCAGGAGACAGAACAGACACAGAATGACCGGGCGTGACCAATAAGGGCCCACGCGAGCCCAGCAGGGAGCATTCCCAGCAAACCACAGTCTCTGGAGGCGACGGGATGCTGCTGCGACAACTTTCGGGTGGCTTTCTTTCCTAAGTCATTATATACTACGTACAAGACGTCGCCATGGGAAAGCTTGTCCCCATTACGAGTTCTGAATCCATTACTGAAGGGTGAAAGCAAATTGGGGTTTAACTTGACTTTATTGTAGTAAAGTTTCAAATTACTGTAAGGGTCCTGTCTGGACACTTGGCAGTGAACGATCCTGAATCTTCCATTAGAGGTAACATATGATAAGCGCTCTGAGTGAAACTGTTACTTCTTTTATTTTCTTTAATTCCAAAATCTCCTGTCTCATAAAATAACCTCAATAAACATATCTGCATGAAAAGAACACGGTCTCTCAATAAACACCTTGGCACTTCTTTTGCAGAAAGGTAGTGTCTGGACGCACTGTGCAAGAATGAAACGAGAATAGGGAGTTGAAGACCGTACATTTGATAGTATTTAGCGATTGTACTCTTTCTGAAAAGCCAAAAAACAGACTAGCTTTAAAAGCAGCCTGGCTTGCTGAGCTGATCAGTTAATTTAGTCAAATCACACTGGTTACTAGACCACTTCTCTCGTTAGACAGGTGGCTCTCAACCAGTGTGTTTCACCTGTTGCAATGGGTTTACTTTTCTTTATAAATCAGAATGGGTTTCACAGTTACAATAACAACATATTCCTAAGTCAGCTTGTGAGAGTCCGTTATCCCCGTGGACTGTCATGTGTCCTGTGTGGACGTCTCACTGAAAAAAACTGCGGAGAAGCACTGCTCCAGGCTAGTGATTTCTAACTTTTACAACCCTGCAGGGTATGTTGAAATACCCTAAAAAAAATCTCAGGACTTTCAGGGGTGGTAGAAATACTGCAAAAATCAAAAAAGAAAGTTTCTTCTCTTGGCTGTAAAACGACATAACTCAGTGGAAAGATCTCTCATTTGTGGGAAGTGCCTCCTCTCCAGTTACCTGTAAAAAACTATATGTTCCACTTTTTAAATGCCGGCTTCCTTATGGAACATTTTGTCTTGGCAACTCAAGAAGCCATAATATGGAACAGAAATCTGTTCCAATCTATCCATGTGTAGTTGTAGGGATTTCCTTTGGGATTAGTCTGTAGGAGCTGCGGTTAAACGAATGTATCTTTAATTCTGAAAACCTTCACATTTATATAAGCTTCTCTTTTCTCAAAAAAAGGCTTTTAGAATTGTACTTTGTAAATCCAGTGATTCTCGTTACAGCTTAAGGAAGAATGATAGTTTAACTGCAGTAAACTCAAGACTGATGAGCTGGTATAAAAATAAAAACTGAGAAATGAGTCTACAATAATGTGTTTTCTTTAAATATGCATTTTCGGGCACATCTGGGTGCGAGTT